ACATTATCTTTTATCCTGCAGGTGGCTACATCGAGAGACCTCAGCTGATCCGAGCAAAAGTGCCAATTGTGAAGTTCAGGGATAAAGTCAGGTGAGTAACTCTTGTTTTCCCAGTTGCTTAGGTTATTTTTAGTTATTCATCTAGTGTAGACAGTTGGGAAATGTATATTGTACCACAGCAGTTTGTCTTCGTCAGGTTATAGAAATCACTTGGGTCTTTGAAATGATTTTTTTTTAAATAGTCTGAACAGTCTTAACTGAGTATAGTTATTCTGTGTGATATCTGAGATTGTCCAATTTAAAGAATGTAAACATATTTATATTTGGATTTTTAAATGATCTTTTGCCTCTTGGACGTGTAAAATATTCCCCAGAACATACATTCATTGATGAAATTTGATATTTGTCTTAGGAGTTTGCTAATACAATTGTCATTAAACATGTTAACATTTTGTTTTAATGAGAGATATACAATATCAGAAATAATGGATACAAAAGAAAAGCAGCAAAGTATACTTGTTCTATTTAAAAATTTATGTGTTTTTCTGTATATTCTAGACTGGGCTCTGATTAGGATTGTTTATGTAATATCTGAACATAAAAATATTTAGGTGTGGTAGCACATGCCTGTAATCCCAGTACTCTGAAAGCTGAAGCAGGAGAATCAAGAATTCAAGGCCAACCTGAACTATGTAGTGAGACTCAAAACAACAACAAAATAACATTAAATGGTTAAGTGTTAATTATTTAGCAATACTAGGGTTTGAATTTTCTTTTTGTTTTTTGAGGGGGACCATTCTTGGGTTTCAACTCACGGCCTTGTTCTTGCTAGGCAGGTACTCTACCATTTAAGGCATACCTCCAGCCCTTAAGTTGATTATTTAATTAGTTATTTCAATTAAGCAGATTTTTCTAGTCCAGTTTTGCAAAGGTAATACTGAAATCACACACACACACACACACACACACACACAAGCTTTCTTACTCATTGATTTAAGGATTTGCTTATTTGTAAAGTTTATTTGCATTTCCCTGTATTGGTATTTGTAGGCTTTAGTTGTATCTCCCTGTATTGATATACATAGGCTTTAGTGGTCATTCTAGGACATGCACAAGCTGACAAAATTTTTTTTTTCATTTTTCTTTTATTATTCATATGTGCATACAAGGCTGGTTCATTTCTCCCCCTGCCCCCACCCCCTCCCTTACCCACCCACTCCTCCCCCTCCCTCCTCCGCCCCCTCGCCAATACCAGGCAGAAACTATTTTTGCCCTTATTTCTATTTTGTTGTAGAGAGAGTATAAAGCAATATGGAAGGACCAAGGGTTTTTGCTGGATTGAGATAAGGATAGCTATACAGGGCATTGACTCACATTGATTTCCTGTGCGTGGGTATTACCTTCTAGGTTAATTCTTTTTGATCTAACTTTCTCTAGTACCTGTTCCCCTTTTCCTATTGCCTCAGTTGCTTTAAGGTATCTGCCTTTAGTTTCTCTGTGTGTTAAAGCGGACAAATGCTAGCTAGTTGTTTTAGGTGTCTTACCATCCTCACCCCTCCCTTGTGCTCTTCGCTTTTATCATGTGCTCAGTCATAATCCCATTGTTGTGTTTGCCCTTGATCTAATGTCCACAATGAGGGAGAACATACGATTTTTGGTCTTTTGGGCCAGGCTAACCTCACTCAGAATAATCTTCTCCAATTCCATCCATTTACCATTGAATGATAACATTCGTTCTTCTTCATGGCTGCATAAAATTCCATTGTGTATAGATACACTATTTTCTTGAATCCATTGTCAGTGGCTGGGATCTTGGCTGTTCCATAACTTGGCTATTGTGAATAGTGCCGCAATAACATGGATGTGCAGGTGCCTCTGGAGTAAAGTTCTTTTGGGTTATCCCCAAGAGTGGTATTGCTGGATCAAATGTAGTGAGATCGATGTCCTGTTTTTAAGTAGCCTCCAAATTTTTTTCCAGAGTGGTTGTACTAGTCTACATTCCCACCAACAGTGTAAGAGGGTTCCTTTTCCCCGCCATCCTCGCCAACACCTGTTGTTGTGGTATGTTGCTGATGATGGCTATTCTAACAGGGGTGAGGTGGAATCTATAGTGGTTTAATTTGCATTTCCTTATTGCTAGAGATGGTGAGCATTTTTTCAGTGTTTTTGGCCATTTGAATTTCTTCTTTGAGAAAGTTCTGTTTAGTTCACTGCCCATTTCTTTATTGTTCATTAGTTTGGGAGAATTTATTTTTTAAGTTCCCTGTATATTCTGTTATCAGTCCTTTGTCTGATGTATAGTTGGCAAATATTTTCTCCCACTCTGTGGTGTTCTCTTCAGTTTAGAGACCATTTCTTTGATGAACAGAAGCTTTTTAGTTTTATGAGGTCCCATTTATCTATGCTATCTCTTAGTTGCTGTGCTGCTGGGGTTTCATTGAGAAAGTTCTTACCTATACCTACTAACTCCAGAGTATTTCCTACTCTTTCTTGACAAAATTTTTTGAGTAGTCTGATTCCCGTCTTTTCAGCTGAGGAAGAAGAAATAAGATGACACTCTGACTTCTTATTTCAGTTTTCATACTGAAGGCAAGAGTCCTTCTCACCTTCTAGTTAGTATCAAGTTTTTTTTTTTTTTTCCTTTTTCTTTACATTTTTGTGCTTTTCTACCGTTTATACTGGTCCTCAAATAATAACACTGGAGTACCTCTAGTGTTCCTAAGTGTAATGTGCCCTGTGCAGGAAACATGTTAGGCACATACTGACTTCATATTTTTGAAAAGTTTTTTTTTTTTTTTTTAACTAGTGCTGGGGATCAAACCCAAGGCCTTGTACATGCTAGACAAACACTCTGCTACTACTCTACATTCCTACCCCCATAGAAAAGTTTTCTACCAAGTGGTTCTTCATCTCTATTGAGTTATGTGGAGGAAGTACAAACTGACTTCAGTGTTAAGACTTACACAAGCCTAACTAAAGATTGTAACTATTGTTAAAATAAATTTTCCAAAGCCAGATATGTATATATCTGAAGTGTTAATAACCACCATCCATTTTCTTAATAATAGGGATAATGGAAATGGAAAGATTGTAAGATTCCTTTGGTTCCCTACAACAAGATAACTGAATTGATAAATTTCAAATTTTGTATTGAAAAGCTATAGAAAGGAATTTTGTTTTGTTTACTTACTTAATTAGCTAATTTTTTTTTTGAAATAGGGTCTTACTATGTAGTTCAGACTGGCCTCAAACTGACTATCCTCCTGTCTCAGCCTTCTGAATGCTGGAATTACAGGTGTGTGCCACCATGCCCAGCTTGGAGTTTTGTTTTTATTTTAAACAGTCTTTTCATGGAAAATTGAGTAATCAGAAGAAATTAGATATTATAATATTGGGCTATTTTTGACATGATACAATTTATTAGCCTTTTTAGCAGGACTATAATGAGCAGACAGAATCTATTCTGTTATTTTTTCACTTGCATTTTATTTAGCTTTTTATTCCTATTGTTTTTAAGTATATAATGCTGTAGTTCCAAATTATTTGGAAATATATAATTTAGTGGAATAATTTTTAGTTTGTAATATTTTTAGCCACATTATTTTGCTTGCGTGGAGAAGAAAAGATTTTAAAAATTTTCTTTGGGGTAATTGAGTATTTACCAGTACATTAATGATCTTTTAACGGTAATACTACTAATATTCATTCTTATTTCTTTAGTGCCTTATTTTACAAATAAGATCTGGCTTTTGGGCCCATGCTATTTTGCATCATTTGATGGATTGACATCAGTTTCTTTACTAGGGAGGGAGGTTATGTGTACTTGAGTTAACATTTATTTTACTTTTTTTTAAAATAGTTGTGTGGAATTTGACTTGAATGTAAACAATATTGTTGGAATAAGAAACACATTCCTTCTCAGAACTTATGCATATCGTAAGTTTTTGGTTTATTTCTAAATAATCAGCTTCTATTTTTCTGTTATTCTTTATTGATTGCTTTTTAAAGGTGTTTATGGACTGGGGGTATAGATCAGTAGTAGAGGATACTAGTATTAGGATGCTTGCCTAACATACCCAAGGCCCTGAATTCGATCACCAAAATGTAAAAAAAAGAAAGATAAAAAAGATGTTTATAGTAAAGAGCAACACATCATTAGTTGTGTTTAGGTATAATGTATCTTATTTTATTATTTGCAAATTATGTTGCTGTAGTAAAATCATATACTACAAGAGTTATAAGTAAATCAAATGCATTTAAATAAGTGATAATTTTTTAAAGGTAACTGAGGCAAACTTAGAAGTAAGTCACATTTAGAAGTTCATTTATGGTGAACATTGTGTTTACTACACAGGGAGGTTTGCTTCTTTACAGGCTTGATGTTGTAAAGTTATGTAAATTTTCAAAGAAATTGTAATATCTTCTTACTCATTTTTAAGTTTTAATTTTATTTGCAGTTGAAAATCGAGTTCGTCCATTAGTACTGGTGATTAAGAAGTGGGCAAGTCACCATGATATAAATGATGCCAGTCGTGGTACTTTAAACAGCTATAGTCTTGTATTGATGGTTTTGCACTATTTACAAAGTAAGTATTTGGGGGTTTTCTCAATTTTTAAAACTAAACTTCATTATGTATAGAATTGTTTTAAAAAGTTCCTTTTAAGGTATACAAAACTGTATTTCTTACCTCGTTGCCTTGAACTGTTTAAGAAATTTATTCCGTGGAAAACATTATGAGGAAGCTTTGATGTGTTTTTCTTTTTTTTAATTATATTATTGTACTAGGAATGCATTGTGACATTTACAGAAGTTCTTACAATATATCATGTTTGAATTTACCCTCATTTTTAAAATTTTTTGACAGTTTTTCTCTTCCACTTTTGTATTCAAAGAACTTTACCACCATATTGTGGACTGATTATTTTGAAGCAGATGAATGTTCAGAAGGACTATAAAAATAAGCTTCAGCACCATGTTTTGTAGTTTTCATTTGGTCAAAGAAGTTTATAATTCCCATTAGCTGTACTCTCCAAGTAGGTTTTATCTTTGCAGGACTGTTGTGTCAGATCGGCCTCCAGGATGGTCTGGCTGAGACATCTGTCACCCCATTGATTGCTAGGGTTGATTAGGATGATCTGGCTAGCTATGCAGGTGTTCTCTTACTGCTCCATGTGCATCCTTCCCAAAGCTACAAATTCAGTCAAAGAGTACAGACTAATAGAGGACCATTCTTCAATTAAGGATATATGAGTAGCTGAGCTTCTCTGCTAGAACCTCCAAACAAACACTGAGAGTGTAGATTGGTCTCTAGATTTAATTTAATTTAAATTCAGTCCAGCTAGCCATTGTTTATGAGTCCATCTGGTGATAGCCATACTTTTGTCCTGTGCATAGTGGCAAACTAACAAATGAACGCCTCTAATTTGTGCCATTTCATAAGATAGGTGTGAAAATTCTTAACAGTATTAAAAATTCTCTAGAAATACAGTACAGACTGATCAGATCTAATTGGAACTTTTGCTTTTGTACTTGGTGATCTTTTCTATATACAATCTAAGATATAGAAAGACACTGTACACATTATACTCAGATGGATACTAAGAGATGTTAGAAAGCTAATGATTTGTGGTTATTAGACCAAGGGTCTGCAATGTTAAATGACTAACCTGTTTGAATGAATGATATCTGGTGACATGGAGCTTGAGTGAAAGACTGGATGCTAATCTGATTAAAGACAGTTTACCAAGATGTCTCAGACCTGCTTTGTTTTGGGTTAGTATTTCCACAGTTTAGAATCTTGGTTTCTGAAGACTATTCTGATGGGGGTGGGGGAATGTGCCTTAGCATACATAATACTCATTTGTTTGTTCTGTGAATATTTGCCACTAAGTAAATGCTTGCTGTCATTCTGGAATCTGGGAATACAGCAGTGAACAAAATAGTACAGTGATTTTCTTAAGGGAGCTTACATTGTTGCATGTAAAAATTAACATTTTGACATTTTTATGTTTTGCCCATCAAAAACATAAGAATTATTGGACATTTGTGCTGGTACATGCCTCTAATACCAGCACTCAGGAGATTGAGGCTGCAATAAATGTTGAGTTCGAGGCCAGCCTTGGCTAATAGTAAGTTGGTATTATTTTTGGTGGTACTGGGGTTTGTACTCAGTGCTTTGCCTCTGTTGGTCTTCTTAAACAGTAATCCTCCTAATCTCCACCTTCCAAGTAGCTGGGATTACAGGAATGAGCCACTGACACTCACATACAAGTTGGAGAATAACCTGAGCTACATAGTGAGTCCTGTTTCAAAAACAAAATTCCCGCTACTTGGGAGGTGGAGACAGGAGGATCACTGGTCCACACCAGTTCTGGCAACAATTAGTGGGATCCTATCTCAAAAACAAACTGGTAATCTAGCTACTTGGGAGACTGAAGTTGGAGGATTGAGTTCCAAGGCCAGTTAGGCAAAAAGCTCTAGACTCAATCTGAGAAAACAAATTTAAAGAAGCAAAAGGATTGGGTTGTGGCTTGGAGTGTAGAACACTTGCCTAGCAAGCATGTGACCCTGAGGTCAACTGCAGTGCTACCAGAACCAAACCAAAACAAACAAAAAAAGAATTATTAAGAACTGTTATAACTAGTGGATTACTAATAAAATGTGATCTTTTACCATTGTTGCATGGATTGAGCTGCTGCTAATCAGTGTCATCTGCTTTATAACAAAATAATTGTTACAATGCAGTGATTTAAAAAAAATCCTTTCATTATGTTTGGTGTCTTTTTTTCATTCAGCAAACATTTATTGAGTACCATTGGTGCTTTTTATATTTGGATTCTGAGAGAGATAAGAGTTAATATGAGCAATTTTGTCAAAGGCAGTAGAAAAGTCAGGCCTTGGAAGTGCAATGATTTGATGCCTTTACCGAGAGTTTCTGTACTAAGGATATTGGAAATATCCTGAAGGCACATATTTCTTGGCATGTGGGTTAGAAATCATCAGGACTTGGGAGTCAGTCTGTACTTCTTTGGATAGGGAATGGAGGGGGATGATGCCCAAATTCCATACTCTTTGGAATTTCTCTGGAGAGAGTCACTTTTGCTAATAGCAGGCTAGAATGGTTAGGGTCAGAAGAAAAGATTGTCATGCCAGTCAGTGCCTTAAACAAGACCAGTTTACAGGTGACATGGGTTGTCAGAAGTTTTCTGTTTTCAAAGGAATGGCCTGGCATAAGTAGTTATATGTTTGCAGTGGATGACTGAAGAAAGTTATTTCTCAGTTATTCTCAGCATTTTAATCAGAAGCATGAATGAAATTCCTGGTCACATATTTAATTTTATGGTTTTGTTTCAGAATTAGTGTGTTTAAAATAATAAAAAGTTAGTGATATTAAAATATTATTTTACATATTTAAGTTCAGTTTGAATAAGTCATGCACACTCATAGAAAATTTTGAAAATATAGTGAAGTGGAAAGAAGAAAAAAACAGTTATCCAAATTCTTACATCCAACATTGTTTTTGTGAATCTTGGGTTTTAGTTTTTCCAATTTTTGTTTTCTTTGCTAGGGTTTCAAAATGTATATCTAGCAAACATTAAGTGCCAAGTTTGGTACTGTTAATTCCAAATTTTTGTACAATGAATTACTGTAATGGGTATGTTACTCTTCCCACCCCTCTGGAAAAACTTGGTCTTAAAGAGTGTCCTTACCTTTTTTTTTTTAAACATGTGTATTACTAGACTTTCAGACTTCAAGGGACAGTTAAAAAAAATCTTTAAAATTTTTATTTTGTTATGTTAAAGACAGAACCAAAAGTCTGCTGACTAAAAAATGGTGCATATTAAAAAATTAGTCTCCTGGAAGTAGATGGATAAAATCTCAGAATAATGGAAAGGCCATCCCAAAACAGAATAATTGTAACTCCTTCCCCACCTCTGACACACACATTTTTCAGTTTATTCTTGCACCATTATTTCATGTTTATCTCTCTATTGGAGCAGACCTAGAGTTCTTAAGGATCTCTTGGTTTTACCTTCAGGCATATCTCTATGCTACCTTTGCTGAAATAGGGTGCCATTGATTGACAAAAGTGTGTATGTCAATGTTCTTAGTTTTCAATGGATGTCAACTTTTTATTTCCTTAGTCTTCAAAGCATATAGTATGTTCTTAGCATGAATTCACCATTTTAGATTCTTGACAGAGAATATGACCTTAAACTGTCTGTCCTTGTTTTTTTGTCAATTACTGGCTAGAAATATAGTTCTGTGGTAGAGCACTTGCCTAGCATGTACTAGCCCTGGGTTCCGTACCCAGCAACACCACAATTTTATCAAGGGCTCTTTATGGAAGGTTGAATTTGTTGTTCATATTCTACTACGCTTGTAGATGTTTTATACTATATGTTAAATAGACAGTATATTTTCTTTTGAAAA